CTCACCAGCAGTCATCACTCAGATATGCAGAGATTAACACCAAGATTATCACCAGGCATACAATCAGCAGTAAACAATACCCTAATGAAGGAACTACCAGAGGGAAAAAAACAAAACAAAACAAAACCCACCCACCCACTTCCACCAACACTGGCAGGGCATGCCACTGTATTTAAACAGAGAGCAAACCCCACTCCATTCTAGCACTGAAGATGTTACCTAGCTAGATAATGAAATGGTTGCAAGAAAACAGCCAAGCTCAGAGACCCCAAGGACTCCACTGTTTTTACCGACCATTGTTTCTATTATTTCTGTATACCACTCTAGCTTCCTTTGGAAGGAAAAGTGGCATAAATTGTTGCTGTAATTATTGTTATTATATATAAATATGATGGGAATTTTTTTAAAAAAGCATTTATGGAAATTAGGCCTGAGGTGATCATTTAATTTTTTTTAAAAAAAATCATATTTCTGTTTTTTTAAAATCCGAGGACTATTGCCTCAGCTTTATGACAGCTTTGTAGATTAGGTTAAGGTTCAAAAATATGTATCTATCATAACATCCTCCAATGGTTTCATGCCTAAGGAGGGAACATAATCCATGATCTCCATCATCCAAGATTTCCAGTCATCCTCCCATTTCTTCACCTGCTACAAACAGCTTTTGAAATTTGCCTATGTGTAGACCATAATCTCTCAGCAGCATATTTTCTAAACACAATTGCCACCCCAAACTATACTGCAAGCCATATATATTACATGTAGATAGATACATTAGCTCCCTTTCACTGTTTTATGCTAATTAAAATTATTGTTTCTCAGTTCAGTTGATAAGAGAAAAATTCTGATATTTGGGGTGGGAGTGTCTTTGCCATTCAGGTTTGACTGTGAAGAATAGCTCCATCCTCAATGCTTTTATTTTTGTGTGCCATCTAAACTTTTGAGCCACTATTTTCTATAAATATATTGATGGCATATCTCCTATAAAGTACTTTTGATTAAGATGTCTTTTGAAGTGTGGTAACAATAGATGTAAATTAATTTGATGTATATAAATAACATGTATTCATAGGTGCCTCGGTATTTAATTAATCAACGTGGTTGATTAGCCAATAGGGAGCCTTGGCACATCACACTTTTACTACAAGAATTGGTGGGAGGATAAATAGATGACATCATAACTAGCAATAAAAATAAGAGATCTTGACATCAGCTTCTGGGGCATGTAGAAGCGTCCTAATTAACATCCAAAAATGCTCTAGGCCAAAATTAGGAAAAAAAATATGTTGGTGTTTAGATGGACACTCCCTGCTGATGGGTTATTGTGGTTTGTTTTACCTTTAGATTTTTTTGCATGTTTCTTGTTTCAAGCTATCTTTATTGTTTAAAGTGCTTAGTATTTTTGTTAAAAGATGTTTCACCATCAGTCTTGATAAATAAAGTAAACATATTGCTCTGTCTCCTAGGCGAATTGCACTAAGCTTAAAAAATTGTATTTCACAGTTGACATTATCTCGGTTATCTGTGCACGAAGATGTCTTCTGGTGTTAGGGTTCCCACTCAGTGCAACAACATATGGCATGAAGTATAGCATAGTTATAATAAAAGAAGAGAACAGAACAGATGGGAAAGGTTAAGGCCACAGTTTAGGAAACCCTTGAACGTGTTATTTTTATATTTAGCAACTGCTTGGCTGGCTTTCTAAACTGGAATTAAGAGGGACTAATAACACTAGTTGTTCTCATCCAAAATTACTATAGTAGCCTGCCTTTGCAAAAACACAGATTTGCTAGATTTTTAAAAAATCCTTTTTAATTCATTAAGATATAGTTTTCAGTTAATGTTGCATGTTCTGTCCAGAAATATCCAGATAGTATTTGAACGGCCAATAAATGCTCCTTGCCAGAGCTGATATGTTCTTCTATAAGTGCATTTTTTTTCTACTGACAGCGTGTAAAATAAATAAGGATGCTTGGTAGAATGTTTAAAGAAACAGAACGGAGGGATCATTAGAGTTCATCTGGTCTAAAACCTTTCTAGTATAGGAATCTACTACCATCCAGCTTTTGTTAAAATACTTCAAAGAGGAGCAAAACAAAACCCCCACTCCCACCAGCACTGGCAAGGCAGGCCACAGTATATAAATAGAGAGCAAACCCCATTACCTAGCCGGGTAATGAAACGTTTGCAAGAAAAGAACCAAGCTCAGAGAACCCCAAGGACTCCACAGTTCAACCCTGAGCTACACATCTTTGCCTCTATTGGTACTTCAAAGAGAACCCATAAACTCCTGAAACAGTCTATTTCATTGTTGTTCTTACCATTAGGATTTTTTTTTCCTGATGTGTAGTCAAAATCCGCTCCCTTGGAATTTAAATCCGTTGTTTTTTGCTCTGTCTTCTGGAATATTCTGAACAATTATGCCCTACCTTCTATATAAATAAGTGGAAATGATAACAATATGTCAGAGAGTGAAATTGAAGCAAATGCTATAGAAGTTAGTGTCCAGGGAGAGGGGGCAGGATGATGGAAAGGAAGTTATTAATTCTGTGACAATGTTGAAAAATGGTAAGGTTGTGGGTGTAAATAGTATAATTGGAAAAGTATGAAAATATAGGTGTGGCTTTCTTATAGAATGCCTCTTTGACTTGTTTATTATGTTAAGATGTGTGTTGAGATTGCATCTGTGCCTGATGATGAGAAAAATATAATTATTTTTCAAGTATATAAAGGGAAAGGTAGCAAGAATGAATGCAAAGACTGCAGGGGAATCAACTTGTTAAATAAATGAGTTCTGAATAAGTGTGGATTGAATACAGAAGTGATTGATTGATGGTTTTGTCATATAGAGAGAATGAATGAGGATTGAGTTGCCAAACAAATGTATAAAACAAGAATGAATGGATCAAGAGGAAGAGGAAGACCAAGAAAGTCAGGACTGAATCAATGTATGAAGTGGTATGTGGATGTAGTAGAAGCAAGATGGTTTTCAAGAATAAAAAAGTGTGGAGAGGCAAAGTGAATGATGGTGGTGTAAACTAGATTCATCTATGTTTTCATACCTCATGCCTTTAATTTTTTTGTTTTTGTTTTGTTTTACTAATCTGACTCCCTTTTGGCACTTTGTATGTTATTTACCACAAAAGGGAATAGCTTAATGGGTATGTCTGTATGCCTGCTTTGTTTTGCTTTGCTTCGCTCACTGTGAAATGTTACTGTGACAGGAGGAGGGGCAGGAATGGGGGCCAGGCCCTGGGAGCCTTCTCTTTTTGCAGTGCTCCATTGGCTGGAGGGTGTGGAAGTTCTACAAAGTCTTGGTGTCAGCCGACCTCTCATCTTTATACTCCTTTTTGTGAATAGTGATGATGATGAATGGATGTATGCTGTGTTCTGATGGCCGTAATCATAGCATGTGAACACTTCTCTTCACTTTCCCACAAAAAATAATTAATAAATACCTCTAGAATCTGCTAGAAATATGAAGGCTATCTTCACACAACACATTTAACCAGACCGGTTTAGCATGTTTATAACTTGCTAAATTTGGTTATTATTATTCTTGGTTAGGTCTTTTGTGGTTTAGCATGCTGTGCATATTTCCCCTGCATGGTTAGTTTATTGTTCTGTGCAGTCTATGAATTTAAAAAATGTTATTTTGATAACAAGGTTAAGCATTGGATGCACCTACTGCCTTTCTTTAGAGATTTAATAACCCTTTTTCTGCTACTAGAATTTTATACTGAAAACTCAAAACTTTAGCAGAAAACTAAAGTGAGAACTTTTAATTGTGTCCTGAAGCCCAGGTGACATGTAAGCATTAACATTGTTTATCAGTTGTAATGCTCTCAGGATTAATCAAGATCATTGAACAGATAGAATTGAAGTGGTGGCTGCGATACTTTCACCATCGTTCTAGGAAAAAAAAATGGCAGGAGAAGATTGCAACAATTTCCTCTTAAATGTTAGGACACTTTCTGTTTGCCGTGCTTTGAAGTAAACAAAAAATAAAGGGATCTGAGATGATCAAGAGAAGTTACCCTAATGGCATGTCATATTAACTGAAATACTGCACGGTGCTCTAGTGATTCATTGATTCAACAAAGTACAATAAATAATCTGTATCAACAGTGTTCAGCTGGTCAACATTTAACCCCTAAATGCTTATGCTATTCTGGAAATGTGCTATCGAATAATAGCTTAAATAGAAATCCCAATTATTGTCTTAAAAAAATTGGAGAGTGGAGGAAGTTAGTCATTTTTGATCCATTTATATGGTGGCTAGAGCTTGGTTTTGTAGGCAGTGCAGAAGTAAGACAAGCTTTTGGTGGCTTTTTTTTTTTTTTTTAAACACATTTAGAAATCCATTACATAGGTTTTTGCAATGCATTCTGGTATCATTGTGTTGTTCATTATATCAGCAGATTGTATCTTTCTGATTAGATTCCTTGGCTTTTCATTTTTAAATCATTTTCAAATATTTTATATCGAAGCCATTTTTGTTCTGTTCTTTGCTTTAAATAAAGAAAATTGCACTCTATTCACAGTAAAGCAGTATTCTACAGCTGAAATCTAGTATGTTTTAATGCAGCACAAAACTCCTGAAAAATGTGTTGAATCTTGTTATAGGGCTCATTTGGAGGCAAATGCAGAGAAATGGAGTAAATTGCTGATATCATTAGAAGAGCTTATCAAATGGCTGAATTTGAAAGATGACGAATTAAAGAAGCAGATGCCTGTTGGTGGAGATGTTCCAACTTTACAGCAGCAATATGACCAGTGTAAAGTAAGTTGCTTAATTTCTTATTATTTCTCGCTGAGAATGTTTCAGTAAATCCTTACACCATTTAAATCATGTGTAAAAGATATGGGATTGAGGAGGGATCCCCACTGCCAGCCAATTGAAGTTTTGTATATCTGGCTGCAAGCCATTGAGTCCTTTACACAATTAGCAATACAGGGAAAAAAACCCCACAATTTTGTTTTGGAGGATTCTATTCTATTCTGTGAATATAGCAGTGTTCCTAAGGAACACTAACTGCTGATCTTAAGTATAGCCATATAAATACATCTTTAGACAAATGCCACCATTCATTAAACCAAAGAGGCCATGGGCAAATTGCCAACTGTGTGCCAAAACCCAGATAGGAAAATGTTGAGCAATGAAGCCTGTAAGATGAAAAATAAATAACCATAGCTATTTGGATGATTGACAAGTATGTTCAAAAGTTGCCAGCATTTTTTTTTTTAAAAAAGCAGAATTCAGTACATGTCTGATATAATATTTTAATGCTTCACTTCAGGAAAGCAAATATTTCTGGGTTCATGTAGTGTTATTTTTTACATAGATGCACAATCTTTCATTCAACTTCTATGTGTTTGATAGGAAAACATGAATTGAACTGTAGAGAAAATTAGAGAATGTAACATGTGCAGCATTAAATTCATACTGTTTTATGCCTAGTATTTTTTTCATTGAAAGTTTTTAAAAATATATGTAAGGAAACAACAAAAATGTAGCACTCATCTTTTGTAACATTCAGCATTGATACTTTAGTATATGTGCTGTCAAAGCGAGTACACAGCATTTGTACTTGTACTGAAAACCGTGAAGGTTGTGGGGTGGGATAAGGCCTGACAGGCCTTTTTAGTCATGACTCCTCAGTTTTGAATACCTTCAACAAGGAGGCATTTGATTTTGTTCTCATTTAGGTCTTTGGCAGACTATTTAACTACTCATTTATACTCTTCAGTATGGCACTATTCATTTAAATGTTGGGTAAACGATTTCTATATTCCCAGGTTATCAGGGCAAATTCATTCATTCATTCATTCATTCATTCATTCATTCATTCATTCATTCCATTCATTTTATATAGCTGCCCATCTCGCATACGTGATTCTAGGTGGCTTATATTAAAATAGATAAAACAGATAAAATACCTAATTAAAAAAAAACACACACACGTAGCAGTCGAGCATCATAAAATGTGTTTTGAACCTGCAATCTACAAATTAGTATTTTGAACCTACAGTCTATTCTCCTACTTGTGTTAGTTTCCGTATTTGACTTCCCACCTGTATAACTGAGGACCCAAGCAGGCATTTAGCTCTTGAGCCCATTTATGTGGCTCTAGTTCCCCTCCAATCATGTTTTCCCCAAATGAACAAAATGGATTATGGGAAACAGTCCCAAACAGTAGAAATAAATAAATGTAGTGCTTATGAAATTCATTTATAAACATATAGATGATGATGATGATGATAGTGTGAAAGCATAAACTGTTGTCTCAGTCTAATATTTACAGTCTGGGATATATCTCACTGAATTGAGATTCACTCCAAAGTGGATCTGGATTCTACTTCTTTTGAGGATTCTTGAGTGATGTTACCCAATGTGTTTCTTCATTACAGTTTAAGGCTCTCCATTTGCCTTTACACTAGGAGGTTCAAAACTTATATTAACATTTTTTTGTTATTATTATAACAGTTCCATTTTGATCATCACTATTTCACTGAGCTTTGCAAGGAAGCAAATTCCTCCATTCTCACACAATTTTTCATGGAGAAGAATTGGATCTAATTTGATGCTGCCAAAAAACCCCCAAACAGACAGTCCCCCCCCCCATTTTTGTTGTCCTGTTACTTCCTTTCTTGCTTAGCTGTCTTATTTTCAGAAACAGTCTGCAATCTAAATAATATCTCATAGGTCTAAAAGGTTATTAGTTTCAAGTGAAGGAAGTTTGGTAACAGTGGGGAAGAAATCTCTTTAAAAAATTTGTTATCACACTATTCTTTTTTAATTAAGTGAGATGAAAGAACACAGGGACTCTAATAAGAGATCTGCTTTTGTCTTCTTTTTAATAAGCTCCTTTTGGGGAAAAAAAAAGCTTTGTATAAATGATTGCATGGAACCGAGTTTTAATTTATTATCTTATTTAATATACTTTAAATAATTTCTCCAATATTAATCTTATTTATCTTTCAAAATATCCATGGATCTGCTTTACCCAAGAAAAAGACAAATTGATAATCAGTATAATTTTATTTATTTATTTATTTGTAAATTTACAATCAGGGACTAAATTAATCAGCATAATAGCAAGAGTTGTACATACCTTACAACCTACATGGAGAATTATTTATATCAGTGCTGTCTCTTTTTTGTTTATAGTGCAATAATTTTATTAATTATCTTTTTATTTTTTTGTAAACAGCCTTTTGTGTGTTTTGTTCCTTTTGTCATCACACTGATGTTTAATACTCCGAGAACAGCTCTTTCTTGGCATATCCTTAAAGCACTATTTTTTTTGGCTATATGTAACCAGTTTGAAAATGTTTGCTTCCCAAAGATTATTAATCCTGGTGGGCTTGTTGAAAATGTTACCTGTATTAAAAAAAAAAATTAAAAATCACTTTCTGCAACAAGGAGGATAGGAAGTTGGAATGAAAGAAAAAGAAAAAAGAAAGGGGGGAAAAAAGATGACTACAGGTAGTCCCCAGTTTAAGAACAAGTCCCATTCCCAAGTTCTGTGCTTAAGTCGAATTTGTATGCAAGACAGAACAGTATTATTGTATAATACTGTATAAGTAGTATTGTGTAATGAACTTGAACCATTG